GCAACAAAGGAAAAATGGAGGTAGCAGCAGCGACTGCGACGAGCTTCATAACGCTCCGAGCTCGTACGTCAGCGATAATCCCTTCTTCAGCATGTAATCTGAGATCTAAAGGAAGATTTTCTTCGTCTTCTCTCAGAGCTTCTCTCACAAATGGTTTCCTCTCTCCGTATACCGGAGGAAGCATCTCCAGTGACTTCTGCGGTGCCAAGCTTCGTTCGGAATCTCTTAATCCGTTAAATAGGTCTAGTTCTAAGCCTAAGCGTGGAGTTGTCACTATGGTAATTGAATTTTTACTTTTCTCATCGTTTCTCAATTTACGAAGCTCAGTACTGTTAGGATTTTGAAATCGAGGTTTTCATGGCTTTAGCTGAGATTTGTGCTGCCGTGGTAGTGAATTTTCACAAATTGTATCGGCTGGCTCGTACTTCAAGCAACGTTTGTTCATTGGTTTTTAACCGGCGAATCAATGGATTAGAGTGATTCTAGATATAGGCAACTTGAACGCAGTGGGAAGAATGTTTAGGTGTTTCGGTTGTCTGATTGATCGGAAAAGCTACATGTGTGGATAGAAGATTGAGTATGAAACTTGAACAGTGTTCTTTTGAAAGAAATTACGAATGCTATGCGATTGCCTAATGAGAAAGAAGTTTCACTTGATTGTGTTTGCCACTTACATATGCATCAATTGCTCTGATATTTTGGTAAAACATTTTGCTTTGGATCCTCTAGCTGTCTTAGAGAATTTGGAGGGTGCTATATTTGTGACATTTTGTGTTTTGTCTTACCTTTGGGCTACCGCAGTTGGATTGCAACTTATTGTTGCTCAGTTTCACTTTTGTCGAGCCTTTTACTTTCACATGGTTCTTATTTCGTACACGCTTGCTTCCTTCTTATCAACAGGTTATACCATTTTCAAAGGGAAGTGCACATGAGCAACCTCCTCCTGACTTGGCATCATATTTGTTCAAAAACCGAATTGTATATCTGGGAATGTCTCTTGTACCTTCAGTCACTGAGTTGATTCTTGCGGAATTTCTTTACCTTCAGTATGAAGATGAGGAAAAGCCTATCTACCTCTACATAAACTCGACAGGGACAACCAAGGTAGGCTTCCATTGGAATGTCTGCCATCTTTAAGAACGCAGGCTGAATAGTGAACTGAAAACTGTGGTTTGTTTCAAATGAGTGATTAAAGGTCTTTAAATGTTCTAAGAGCATTTTTTTTTTCTTCCATTTCAGAATGGTGAGAAGTTGGGCTATGATACCGAGGCTTTTGCAATCTATGATGTCATGGGGTTAACAATCTATATCCCTTTTCTATATTTGCTTCTTTTCTCACCTTTATTCTAAAAACAAGAGTTAAGTTTCTATAATTAGACTCGAGTCTGGGCTGCTTTCGTGAGCATTTAAACTGCACTTGGAGACTGTTTTCATAGCAAGCTTTTCTTTACTGGCTATTTTGGGAGGCCGACCAGTTATACATGCAAGAATCAACTCTTTATCTTATCTTTGACTTCAGGTATGTCAAACCACCAATCTTTACTCTTTGCGTCGGGAATGCTTGGGGTGAAGCTGCTTTGCTTCTGACTGCTGGTGCAAAAGGAAATCGTTCTGCATTGCCCTCATCGACTATTATGATAAAGCAGGTTCTCCCTGATCGTTTCTTTTAGATATTAAGTGGCGTCTTATTATTCCTCCCTCATAGACAATTTTTTGTTCTTAGTCGTATTGGAAGACACTGAGGCCCTATGAATCCTAGTTTCTTGGCGTCTGTCTTTTACTCATTCATATATTTTCTCTTGTATGATAACTCTGTAGCCCATTGCTCGATTTCAAGGCCAAGCAACTGATGTTGAAATTGCAAGAAAAGAAATCAAGCACATAAAGACAGAAATGGTGAGAAGATCCACTTTACATGAACTCACATAGTAGAGTATCATTTGTTGATCCTTCTGATGTCGTTGAATATCCTTGTTTAATCTTCAGTAGACAACAGTGTCCAGTTATGTATGTGATAAGTGTCTTTAAGGGGCAGATATAAATATACGTAACATGCAGAGAATGAGTATATACTTAAGGAGGATATCTTAATTAGCCATCAATGTTATGCACTTAATAGAAAATCTGAAATCACGTTTGCATTCTGTTTCCTTTACTCTTCCACTTTTATCTTCAAATTAATCTGATAAGATTGTGTCTTTGTTCTACGTAATGTTATACTCAAGGTCAAGCTTTATTCAAAGCACATTGGTAAATCCCCGGAGCAGATTGAAGCTGACATGAAACGCCCAAAATATTTTAGTCCCAGTGAGGCTGTTGAATACGGAATCATTGATAAGGTACGATAAATGACAGAATAATCTGCAGAACATAGAGTGTTTTTTTTAATTTGTGCAGAATTGAATTGTTCTTTTTCTGTAATCTGTTTGCAGGTGGTTTACAACGAAAAGAGCACCCAAGACAGAGGAGTTGTGTCTGACCTTAAAAAGGCACAACTCATCTAAATGTCTGAATTGTCTTCCAAAATGCTCCATGATCAACAGGTAATATCTGAAACTTGCTTACTTTCATTCTGCACAGCATATCGATGATAATGATGATGACATTGCCTTTTAGACTTTAACCTCTTATAATTAATGACACGAAGACATAAACTTTACACTTTACTGGAGGCATATTCTGGAATCATGTACTACTTTCGTTCTGTGAAATTTGGACCAATGATTTTATCGTTAGGAGCATTTACTGACACAGAGGGACACCTGTAAAAGCTCCAATACTTTTTGCACCTCACAGATGGTTTATAATAATTACTTAAGCATTGAAGCAATAGTCTTATAGAAACCCAAAGAATACATGGGGATACATATTATGTAATGTAATGTAAGTGCTTATAGTGGCTTCTAGTCTTCTAGTTTTGTATTCCCTTTAGTTCAAATAGTTACTTCCCATCTTCTTCCTCTGTTTCTCTCTTAGGACCCATTCTATTATAGTGATATCATTTTCATTGCCCATTATACAAACTTCACTATTGATGGCCGACACATATCCAAGGGTTATGCTCCTTCAGACACTAGAACTCTCATTACTGATATCATTTGTTTTCTTAAACAAATGATTAATTTAAAACCTTTTTCTTACTTTGTGTCTTCTTTAATTATTTGGTTATTAACACCTAGCGTTGATAGGTCTTAGTGACTAAAAGCAATGATTTTCTACTTCTAATTCTATTGGCTTCTCAAGTTTACTTTGTTATGACATTATCATTTTGCTGTGTGCTGTGATTTTCAGGTTTGAGATTTGACCGCGTATCAAAAGGGTGATCGGTGAACCATTCATCGGGGAAAAACCAAGGTAAAGTTCTGAAAACATGTTAAAAAAGGTTACTTGTAGTGCTGCAATTATAGGGTATTTGAACAAAAACAAACCCATATGTGTAGGTTTGTGAATGCCTAGAAACAGAATTGGTGCATCTTCAATATGTTTTGAACTTTAAAATGCATCACATTTCGTTTACTTCTAATGCTTCAACAAATGATGTATGTGTTATGTTTTTCAATATGTGTGTTTTGAAAAACCGGTCCGATTTTCGTTTGGTTCGGTTTTTTGATAATTTTAGT